CCCCCAACACCCCAACACCCCAACATCCCCAACACCCTGACTGTCCCCAACACCCCAACACCCCTACCCTGCTGAAGGCCAGCAGCACGCGGTGCCTCCCGCGCCGGTGCCGGTGCCGCAGCCGCCTGTGCACCAGGTGTTCCCCGGCGAACACCAGCAGACTCAGCCCCATGGCCACCAGCAACATGTAGAAGACCCCGGCCATGTTGTCAATGTCCAACTTGCTGCTCATCACCTCGATCTTGTCGTGGTGACAGATGCCCGAGAGCCACAGGCGCTCGAGCAGCTCGATCTCGTCTGCGGGGGGTGACGCGCGCCGGTAAGAGCCCCGGTTGTACCAACGAGAGGGGCCCCGGTGTCCGGGGAACCCGATTTACACCGTGGTGATGCACCCAGGTGCCCGGGGAGCTCCGGTTGTACCAACAACAGGGGCCCCGGTGTCCGGGGAGCCCCGGTTGTACCAACAACAGGGGCCCCGGTGTCCGGGGAACCCTCCTTATGCGGCCAAGAGGGGCCCAGGTGTTCGGTCACCTCCGCTGTCCCGCTGCTACACCCGTCCAGACCGTACGACTGTACCCAAACTCATCCAGGCAGTACGACTGTACCTCCCCCCGCAGGTAGTATGGCTGTATCCACACACACTCAAGCAGTATGACTGTACCTCCACACACCCAGGCAGTACGACTGTACCCGCACACATCCAGGCTGTATTGTAGTACTCACACACACACAACCGGTATGACTGTACCTCCGCACACCCAGGCAGTATTGCAGTACTCACACACATACAATCAGCGCGACTGTACCTGCACACACCCAGGCAGTATTGTAGTACTCACACACACACACAACCAGTATGACTGTACCTCCACACACCCAGGCAGTATTGCAGTACTCACACACATACAATCAGCGCGACTGTACCTGCACATACCCAGGCAGTATTGTAGTACTCACACACACACACAACCAGTATGACTGTACCTCCACACACCCAGGCAGTATTGCAGTACTCACACACATACAATCAGCGCGACTGTACCTGCACATACCCAGGCAGTATTGTAGTACTCACACACACACACAACCAGTATGACTGTACCTCCACACACCCAGGCAGTATTGCAGTACTCACACACATACAATCAGCGCGACTGTACCTGCACATACCCAGGCAGTATTGTAGTACTCACACACACACACAACCAGTATGACTGTACCTCCACACACCCAGGCAGTATTGCAGTACTCACACACATACAATCAGCGCGACTGTACCTGCACATACCCAGGCAGTATTGTAGTACTCACACACACACACAACCAGTATGACTGTACCTCCACACACCCAGGCAGTATTGCAGTACTCACACACATATGTTCACCAGCTTGCAACCCTCTTCCTTGCGCGCCATGTAGTTGAGCACCGCCGCGTCGTAGATGAAGGCGTCCAGCTTCCTGGGGGGCGGGGACAGCTTTGGACACGCCCCCTACTCCAGGCCACGCCTACAGTCGGTCAAGTCCCGCCCACGCCTCCCCGTGTAGCTCCGCCCACTTGGGCGCCCTACAGAGGAGACCCCAATGGGTCCCAGATTGGAGCATCATTGGGGGCGGGGACTGCGTTGGACACGTCCCCTACCCCAGGCCACGCCTACAGTCGGTCAAGTCCCGCCCACGCCTCCCCGTGTAGCTCCGCCCACTTGGGCGCCCTACAGAGGAGACCCCAATGGGTCCCAGATTGGAGCATTGTTGGGGGCGGGGACCGATTTGGACCCGCCCCCTATGAGCCCACGCTCGTACAAGCCCCGCCCACACGTCTCCATGTAGCCCCGCCCACCCCGGTGCCCTATAGTTGAGCACCGATGGGTCCTAAATTGGAGCATCCAGGTTCCTTGGGGGGCGGGGACTGCGTTGGACACGCCCCCTATGATCCCCGACCACGCCCACACGCCTCTAAGCCCCTCCCACAACCCACCAGGTAGCTCTGCCCACTCCAATGCCCTCTATTTGAGCATCAATGGGTTGTAGATTGGAGCATCCTGGGGGCAGGGATGGAGTTGGACACGCCCCCCACGACACCCCAGGCCACGCCCCCATCCCCATGGCCACGCCTACAGACTTACAACCCCCATAGCCCCGCCCCCATCAACCGTACCCCATCTGGAGCTGGTTCCGAGTGTCCTACACAGCCCCACCGGTTGTAGCGCACAATGTGACTATGCAAGGAAGTCCCACCTACAGCCCCACCGGTTGTAGCGCACAACGTGACTATGCCAGGAGGTCCCGCCCACAACCCCAAGGCCCCGCCCCCTGTCAACCGTACCCCGTCTTGAGGTGGTGCAGGGCGTCCTCCACGCCGCGCTGGTTGTAGCGCACCATGTAACTGTGCATGTCGGGGTAGTTGCTCCGGATGTTCTTCTCGGTGCTGCCGTTGGGCACCGTCCCGAACTTCAGCGGGGGGTACTGCTCCTGCGGGCGCTGGAACTGCCCCACGCGGCGGTGACTACAACCGCCGGCAACACCCCGACGGGAAAACAGCAACACCCCGACGGGAAACAAGAACACCCCGATGGGAAAGGACAACACCTATGGCGCCATGGGAACCGCTCCTGCAGGCGCTGGAACTGCCCTGTGCGGTGGTGACTACAGTCGCTGGCAACACCCCGACAGGAAATGATAACATCCCAATGGGAACTGACAACACCCTGATGGGAAACGACAACCATGGGGGGGCTGTGTGAGGCTGTGTGATGTGTGTGGGTCCGACTGACAGGCGCGAGTCCAACTGACACACGCTCGTGACGCGGTACCTTGCATTCACCGCGCCCCGTCACAGTGTGCGCGTGGGATGGTGTGACGCGCGCGGGTGCGACTGACGCGCTCGGGTCCGACTGTCGCGCGCGGGACGCGGGACCTTGCGGTCGCTGAGCCCCGACACGGTGTCCACGTACTCCTCCTGGATCATGAAGGCCGCCAGGTTCGCGGTGTAGCTGGCGAGGAAGATGACGGCGAAGAAGGCCCAGACCAACACCATGATCTTGCTGGTTGTGCCCTTGGGGTTCTCCACCGGCACCGAGTTGTTGAACACCAGCGCCCAGAGCAGCCAGATGGACTTGCCGATGGTGAACTTGGAGCCGCCCGCGCCTGGCGACAGGCGGACTTGTCACCCGGCGTCACCCCGAGCGTCCCCGGTGCCACCCCTGGGTGACAACCGGCCCCATTGTGTCCTCCTGGGGCCGAATGTGGAGGCGGCTGTGCCTGGCGACAGGCGGACTTGTCACCCGGTGTCACCCCGAGCGTCCCCGGTGCCACCCCTGGGTGACAACCGGCCCCATTGCGTCCTCCTGGGGCTGAATGTGGAGGCGGCTGTGCCTGGCGACAGGCGGATGTGTCACCCTGTGTCACCCCCCTGTGTCCCCTCCTCAGCCTGTGCGTCCCTATGTCACCCCTAGGTGTCACCCAGTCCCGGTGTGAACGTGGCGCCGCCTGTGCC